GAGCCTGGAGAAGAGCAGGCTCTGAGGAGACCTAGTGGCAGCCTTCCAGTACCTAAAGAGGGCCTACAGGAGGGATGGGGAGGCACTCTTTATCAGGGAGTGTAGTGCGAGGACAAGCGGTAACGGGTATAAGCTGAAAGAAGGTAGATTTAGACTAGATATTAGGAGGAAATTTTTCACTGTGAGGGTGGTTAGACACTGGAACAGGTTGCCCAGGGAAATTACAGATGCCACGTATCCCTGTTTGGGGCAGGACTGGATGAGGCTTTGGGCAACCTGGTCTGGTGGGAGGTGCCCCTGCCCATGCCAGGGGGGTTGGAATTCAATGATCTTTAAGGTCCTTTCCAACCCAACCTTTCTATCATTCTGTACCAGGGAACTTGGAGGTGTAGAATGTATCTGCTTACCTGTTTAAATTGCTTGTAGATTACTTTCCTGACTTCATCAGAAGGCTGAACTTTTCCAGCAAGCAGTGAAGAAAGCATGTTACCCAGGGTAACCATGCCCAAAATCACCCTGGGGAAGGAGGGAGAGAAGATAGGGCTAAACAAAACAAAAGCCCCAGGTGTTCCTGTATATGAAATCATCCACTCTCAGCCAGCCTGGAAAAGGCAGTTCAACTGCTTCATGGTATAAATCACAGAATCACAGAATCACAGAATGTTAGAGATTGGAAGGGACCTCGAAAGATCCAATCCCCCTGCTGGAGCAGGAACACCTAGATCAGATCACACAGGAATCAACATTATTGATGATATACTTTAATTCTGTGTCTCTGCAGGGGACAATGTCCAATTCTCAGAAGTTCTAGAGACTCATATGGAAGTCAGCAGGTGCTGTGGGTGCCTTGCTCTTCTAAGCATCAGGCTCTTTGTATCTCTAGTTCTTGCAACTTGAGAGCTTCTTGCAACCTGAGAGAGATTTTGAAAAGCCTGACTTCACTGGTTTATGCCCCCATTTGTCCTTCTGAAAGGTGTGACAGGGCCAGAGACCTGGTCATCTCAATTTTGCTCATTCCCCTTCTCCCTACAAGGATGTTGCAAGGATCTGCAACAACTAATCCCTTGAGTTAGCACTGTAACTGCAGAGTAAATGAGCAACTCTTCATTATTCACCTTGTCATACAGGAGATCTAGAGTGTACTAAGAGGTATCAACTTGCTGGGGAAATGCTGGCTTATAGGGATCACTACAGTGCAAGGCTCTGAAGAAACTGGGTGCAAGCTGTGGTGGAGATGGGTAGGTTTGGGGTTTTTTGTTTTAAATATAAATTTTTGCTTTGTTAAATTAAACAACTATTATAAAAACCAATGAAATTACCCTGCAGATGCACACTAAGCGTATCATAATAATAATTAGAACTCATAATCATTTAACTCTCACATTATTAAGTGAAGAGCAGAACAGTCCTGGCATGACAACACATTAAGTCCAGCACTGGTGTGTTTAAGGTAATATTTCTGAACTGTGTACTATAACTGAAGAAAAATGAGTGGAAGGATATTATATTTCTAGTAAGCATTTAAAGACATCCCTTGGGACCTGGTGAAGGAAATTATACATATGGATGAACAGTGATATATGTGGACATACCCAGATTCATCAACAACCGGTACCTGGTCGAATCCCTTCTCCCGGAGAATATCAACAGTCTTCGCACAGGTAACAGTTGGAAGCACAGTCAGGGGAGCAGAGAGGCTTAGTTCCTGAACACTGATGTTCCACCACCTAGAGATGAAATAAAAACCAAAAACCCATGCAAGTCTTATGGAGAGAACAGAACCAGTTGCTTATGTACAGTGGCCTTCAACACTATAGGAATGACAAAAGGCTGCAAGGAAGAGTCAGGATTCAGCCAGAGTCAGTAAAGTTTCAAGGCTTTCAACTTCTCTCCCCAATATCAGAAAGTCACTGAAGTGTGAGAAGGCTTTAAGACCAAAACTCTTTTCCTCATTTTGTCTACTTTCTAGGATTACAGATAGTGGAGAGTACTAAGCTTCATTATGTACATCTTACACAGAAAATTTTGGGCTTATGCTGAAAGAGCTAGCCATATTTACAGTCATTATAGGTAGCAAGTCAGGGAAGATTCCCCTCCACCTATATAGATTTGCAGTGCTTTACACTCGAGAACTCTGATCTCAGAAGGGTCCTTTAGATACTACTTTTTCATTTCAGATACAAACCCTTTCATTAAAAAAAAAAAAAAAAATCAATCACTAAGTTGCTGCTATGCAACCCAAAGAAGGAAATCAACTAATTTAAGCAGATTTGATTAATAGCTGCAATTATACATCAACACCATAGCATGAAAGATTAGCTAAATCAAAGGAAGTACTGCAAATTGAAATGAGTTTTAAATTAGAAACCACTATAAAGATGACTGAATAGTCTTATGAAAATCCAAATGGATCTGACATGCTTACCAAGGTTTTTTGACACGGTCTTCTTCTTTCATGAACCCCTTCTGAATCATCCATTTGTCGCTCAAGAACTTGGACCTGGAAAGCACCAGGAAGCAAAAAGCTCATTAACAGGCTAAACACCTGACAGCAAACCTAATAGCACACAGAGGCAACTTTTTACAGCTCACTACCACTAACAACTAAAGCATAATTGAAAAGACTGCTATTTGCCATCCACGCTTACCAGCCAGGCAATTGAGAAGAAATGCTCATAGGAAGAAAAAGGAGTCCCATAGGAAATGAAGCTTCAACTACATCAGTCCCTTGCAATACAATAGAGAGACAGCCTGCAATGGAGAAGTGCCACCTTGTACTCAGGCAAGGTCTGTCTACAGTTTCTAGTCGTCTAAGTATTGTGTTGGATGCAACAGAAGTCACAAAACACAGCTGAAAACATCACATTTTAGGCTATGTTTCAATGCAGTAGAAGAGAAACAACGTCTCAGCACAGCTCAAAAGCACTTGTACTTCCTCCTGTAAAATCACCCCAACACTGGCAGCTTCTACAGCAGTTCTGTGTTCTGCTGTGGACACAAGCAGAGAGAGTGGGCAGCCTTACAGGGACCCTTCCAGGAATTGAATAATACCAATGGTCCCCAATAAACAAAACAACAAAAGTAAGTATTTTCCTGTGCTAACCAGGGATAGTTACATATTATGTCAGACACAAGGAGGAGCTCAGCTTTGAGAAAGCTCCATGCCAGACCCTTTTCAGATACCTCAGAAGTTGTGCCCCAAACACATTCCTTGCTTTGGTAACTGGGTGCTAGAAGACATATGTATTCAGCTCACCACTGCTGTAATGAGGTCTGAGGGACTGCCTCTCCCTTTTCCCAAAGAGAAAACAAGCAGGTTCTTACATGTAGTTCCTAATAGAGTCAGGGAGGATAACAACACAGCGTTGACCTTCCTTCAGCTCTTTGGCTGCCTTCAAAGCTACAGACATGGCACTGCCTGAGCTGCCACCTGCCAAAACACAGATCAGAGGCAAAACTGTCAAACCATAAGTGAAATGAGAAAGAATGAAAGAGAGGAGGAGAGACAGTAGAGGAGCCCAAGGTGAGGAAGACAGCTTCTGAAGTGGAAGGAGGTCTCCCCGAACTACACAAGGCTTCAACCTCTCGCATATTACTCAAGAGAAACCCAAAGGATCCACATCTTTTCTTACCACACAGCAGTCCTTCCTCTCGGATCAGCATGCGTGCTAAAGCAAACGACTCCTCATCATTGCTCTTGTACCACTGGTCCACTGCCTGGGAAGGGGCAGGAAGAGAGAAACACATCTATTTAAATGATGAGGGCTAGGGGAGCTACCCAACTAATGTAAATTCAACCCATGCTCTTAGAGGTAACAGCTGCCCTACGGAGGCATGTGCCTGGGTTTCCATCTTCCAAATGACAAGTGGGGTTTTTTTTTGCCAAAGTAAGATGATCACATTAGCACAACAGACTCCTTATTGAAACCTCACTGTGAGAACAGGCTGTTGTGAGACAGCCACAGAAAGCACCGGTTTCCTCCGCTCTTGGAGGGCTTCCCAGGGACACAGGCTCTGTTCAGGACACAGTCATTCCACTTTTGGCCGGGAGGGGTCGGGGTGCTTTCTTGGGTTTGTTTGTTTTATTTTTTGATTGGTTGCTTGGTGGTTATTTTTAATTTAAAAAAAAAAAAAAAAAAAAAAAAGAAGTAGTAACATGTTCTATGAAAACACTGAAAAACAAATGTGGCCAGTGCAAAAGCCTTCCAAGGACTTCTTTTGCTGATGGAAAGAACAGGAATAGTTCTCTCTGCTAACCCTCCCCTTTCAGCTCAAAGAAATACTTCCACAAGTTTTTCCTCCACCTTTCTCCTCTTTTCTGCATCCCAGAGGGCAAAGGGCAGTACACCAAGAAATGTGACTTACAGATCTATCCAGCACTGTGGGGACAAAATCATATCCAATTCCTTCCACTTCATAAGCTGTCTTGTCAGTCTTGTTCAGTTCTTCTGGTGTAGCAAGGATGGAGCCTTCAGGATCAACACCTATAATCTGGAGAAGCAGTTTCCACTTTGGCTACCATGACACACTGCTTTTGAGAACACAGCTATTTACTCATGAGCCTCATTACAGCTGTTTGCACACACAGCCACCCAGCAGCAACCTCGTCTACTATTAATTTCTTCCTGGCAACATTCACCTCCCCTGTCAGCAAAACATTTTGCTGCTTCTGGCCCCCTGGCAACCCATCCTGTCTCGTCAGGCTGCGGAGACTAAGTGAGGTGCACCACTTCCTCTACATGGATTTTGTTTGGTTTGAACAGAAGACAGGGTTTCCCTGAAACAAGATGTCCTCATTCACATATCAGGAATCATTACAGCCAAAACATTTAGTGCCAAGTATAAACAAGTAAGTTTTATTTTGTTTACCATTCTCTGCTTATGTAGGAAAATATTCACGACTGAAACTCAGTACCAGCTTCTGTGAGGAAACGTAACCCAGCACACAGGCAGGCACACAGGTTGGTGTGTGGAGAGAAAATTTCACTGGGTAAAACCTCAGCAGCTCCAGACAAGTTAGCAAAGGTACTGTCAGAGAGGAAGCAGAAGACTACAGTACACACCTGAGAAGGAAGTTTCTCAGACACTCCATGAAGGGATCTGCAGGTCAGTTTTCATCTGCTGAGCCAAACCTACACTCTGGTCACCAATGAGACCAGAGTATGATGATTTCAGACAGCCTGAAAACCTCTTTGCTGCTCAGAACTACCTTCTAACAGGGAATCTAAGAGCTTCCCATAGAGACCCAGGGCAGGCTTGCAGGGAATGGGACATTTCAAGTGGAGCAGTTTGAGGTTCACCCCGGTACAGAGAAATACTTTAGGCTTGTCACTTACTTTGCAACCTGGACACTTTTCCTTTAGCTTTCTGGAGATGCCAGTGATAGTACCTCCTGTGCCAGCTGTAGCTACCAGCATGTCTAATTTTCCTGTTTAAAGGCAAGAGATAAAATGCAGTTGTGAAATCTTCCCCAGAATTATGGATTAAAAACCCACTTAGAATCATAGAATCATTAAGGTT